ATACAATACCTTACCTTTTCTCACATAATAGCTAGAATCCCACATTGAAATGGTAGAAGAACTGGTGCAAAATTTACCGAGATGAGCCCTCTTCAGAACCAGTAGGGTTGGTGTTTAAATCACCTTGCTTTTTTTCAATATTTGTTGTTTTTTTACACCATCAGCATTTATACTTAGGTCTTTCCATTGTTTCAGATGCAATTCTATTTTTTTAATGTTTTAAAACTTTCACATTGCACTGATTTTCTAGATGTTTATTTCACTTTTTGTGTAGTCAGTATTTTTACAAAGACATATTTGACTATGCATACGTTTTGGAAGAGCATACAAATAAAATTGTTTGTGTACCTTGAATAAAATTCTCTCTATTATACATTACTGTGCTCAGTTTTCACTATATTTTTTATACATATCTTGTGTTTCAGTTTCTTCTCAAGATTTATGTACAAAGTTTTCATATTTGCCTATAAACTGTACAACTTTACAGTTTGTATGTATGCTCTTCATAGTTTGGTTTCAACTACTAATCTGCACTTGGTTATTCTCCTTCAGATAACTTTTTGGTAACAGCATTGAACTACTGGTTTTATCTGTTTTTCCATCCACACTGGATTTGCCTAAAACTTTATAATAAAGTTTTCAGTGTACATCAACATAAATAATGAACAGTTTGTACTTAAGTTCTTAACAGATTGGTATCAGCTACTGATGAGAGCTTGTTTAATTATCTCGGTGTAACATTTTAGTAACAATGTTAAACTAGTTTTCATTTAATTTTGCATTCTACTCATGATTTTAATTATTATTCATTACCATGTACCTAACAGATATTTAATTTGGTAACAATCATGAACTGAAGTCTTAATTTCTTTTGCATTATACTTGAGTTGTAATAAACTGTAAAAAGTATATTTATATATTTATCTAATAAAACTGTGTTTGTTGTCTTCACTGATGCAGTGATGCTACTCTTTTGTATATGTATCTTGATTTGTAACTTTTGTACATAATTTCATTTTCTACTTTTGTAAGTTTTTGAAAAATATCAAAAATAAAATATTTCATATTAGTCCTATTTTAATTTATATAATAAAAAAAAGTGTGGGTCTTAGACTAGAGTAATGCTAGTAAGGAGAAAGAAAAAATTAATAATTATAAAATGTAGCCTAACTATCATAGTACTAGTACGTACAAATGTCACAAGCTCATCTTTCCAAACAGTGAATTATATTTATATTATGAACTAAATATAAAAATAGGCTAAATTATCTCATTTAGATCTGCTAATTTAAATGCAAAAGAATATAAAAATCACAACCTATTTTGGTTCTAAGTGCTAAGACTAATCTACTTGTAAACTTTGCATTCGCCACATCTGTAAATCTTAACCATAACACACGTGAATAAAATTTTTTCTCCTAAAAAAATTATGTTTATTTTATATTGCAATATAATGATATAGCATGTTTTTAGATTCTATAGAAAAATAATAAAGCCAGGTATATGCCATACAGTTCTTTCGAAAAGCAAGATTTTTAAGACTTATAACAAAGGACTATGGCCACAAACTAAGTTTATCCTCAAACTAAAATGTCAATTTTTGTAACAAGCACCGCCCATGTTCCTATTTTAAAATACAGTACAAAACATTTCATCACATGCTTGCTTATAATCCTATGGTTTCCCAGATATTATATTTAGTGAATCAACTAAGTTGGCCCCACCCAAACTCTTCCATTTTTGGTAATACTTGCTCACATCTTCACCCAATGACGTGTGTATAAGCAATCAAAACTTAGAATGTCCCCCACACGGTTTTCTCAGCCTCTGCAAAGTGTTTACATGGGAAACCTTTCTTTTCATGGTAGAATCGTAATAGTAAAGTAGAAGATTATGGAGCTCGAATAATCTTTTTTTTTAAACCCAAATCCAGCTTAGTTACTACTAAGCCTGATAAATTATAGTGGAATTCTATGGTACTGATATAACAATTTATGATTTTTTTATTTCAAAATTGATATATAAAACCTAGAAAAATTATTTTCTTTTACATCCTCCACATGCGAAATTTGATACAATTTAGCAACTTATGGCAAACAGCAAATGAGTACAAAGTTCATAAGTAGAAGAAGTAATTGTTTCCTATACTTCTTTATTTACTATTCTATGTTTTAAGAAAAATAAAAAAAACATTTACGAACTTATTTGTAAATAGTAATAATAAATATACATATTTAATGTATTATAACCAAAATATGACTATTTTACAAAATACTGGTCCATTACAATAAAGCCAAGACAGGTCACTTTGTAAAGGCCAGTTTTATACTACTGGATATGGTAATATGAATGCAAGTGTGCCACATCATTCAACTTTTATAATGTTAGTCAGACATAGCTGAAAGGTCAATAAAATAAAAATAATAAATATATATAGATGTATAGGGTTATGAGATTTAAGCTACTCAGACTAAACATTTGTGGTTTCATGTTATAATTTATAGTCATTCTAGAACAAAAAAAGATTATTTACATTTATTTCCTTATTTATGTATGGGTTATGAGGTCGGTCAAATCAACCAAACCCATACAAAAAGACAATAGTGAAAATTACAGATGAAATATAGTTTTTTTCTAAAAAAAAATGTTTGATAATTATCTGGAGGTTATTAGGAGGTTATTGAGATTTCACATGTAAAAACGAACAATTTCCTGATGCATAAAAGTATTTTTAATCGTAAAATAAAAATTAATTTGCATGCTAGATAGTCAACATTTGAGAAGAAAAAAATCTTAAACTTAATTTAAAAATCTGATACTTTGCGTACAAAAGCCTTATAATGTTTACTGATAATCTGCAAAACTTCATGAAGATACATGTACATTTTTAAAAGTTACAGTATAATGGCTTTATGGTTACTTTGGAAGATATGGGCTGGGTGGAATCCACCCACTCATAATAAAAGGGTTAAATAACCTAAGGCTGAGCTTATCTTCTCTCTTTGTTGTATACAAAGAAGTATTTAAATCATTTCATATTATTGTATATTTAAAGTAATAAATTTCACTTTCCCCTCCAACACCAAATACAGTAATTCAAAACAAAACTATGCATGGTTTGACACAGTGCAAGTTGGACCTGTTTTTGAATCACATTTTGATTAAATTTAAAATTTTCCTTTTCTGAAAATGTATTTCAGATAGCTACCTCTTTGCACAACAAAGAGCAATTACCTCATACCACTGCCAAGAAAAGGTAAGGAAAATGTTAACTTCAGAAAGGTTTACTGACCTCCCTGCACAGCAAAGATCTAGAATTACACATTGAGAAAATGTTGAAGGGGGCAGGTGCAGATTAGGAAATTACAAAGAAGATCTCCTTTCTGATAACACAGAATCTGAAAGGGAAAACTCACAGAATGTGTTACCCACAATGTGTGTGTGTGTGTGTGTGTGTGTGTGTGTGAGGGGGTAGGGGGGGATCACTTGCTAGGAGACTGCATCCATCTCTAACATGGAATATGATTTGCCAAAGAGAGGTCATAGAGCAAAAGGAATTATCAAAGGAGCCTTTTTTATGGTTTTTAAAATGTCACATAGTGGGAGAAGTGTACTATTGCTCAACCGGCCATTATCTCACGTGTCAGCTGAGCATGAGTGCAGTGTTATGGTTAGGATAATAAGTCAGGCTATTTCATATAGGAAAAATACATATGTGAGGTACACATCACAATAATTATTACAGGAAGAAAATATTCCAGACCTGCATTCCAAAGACAACACAAAACCTATCAATCTGGCTTAACCACCAGGAATGACTTAATTTATAGTGTAGAGGGGTAGCTGAAAGTGCACTACACCTCAAACTAACACCCCATCCCTATTTCACACAAAGGGGTGCATCCATTTGGTCTTGTACAGTGAAATTATACCAACCCCATGGGGGGAACTTTCCATATCAGCCTCCCCAGTGGCTTGGGCCTCGGGAAACAAGGGTTCTTCCTTATTCCACTAAAAGAGAACAGGAGTGAGGAACTTGCATGGAGGAAAACATCTAAGAGGTGCTTGACTAAACAGAAAACAACACAACTGTATAAGGACCCACACTAATAGACACTGGTTTATCAAAAATATGGACAGCTGGCATTAGCTAGGTGTTATGGCGTACATACACCTGGTGTTGTCTTGTGAAATATGGCCTGAAAGAAAATATATATAAACTGCCAAAGCAGTCTTACAGAAAACCCCATCTCAACAGCAGGTATTGAGCAGAGGCAAATTGGAAAACAAAGGAAGAGGACCATCCACAAAGTCATATCCTCAGTTGTGGTATGAAAAGTGTAATATTTTGTAACAGGTGAGAATCCACAAACACACTGATCAGTGGCAAAACTTGTCCACATGTCCCAGACCACAATGTGCAACATAATCCAGAATAATCTCCATCTGAAAAAGCAACACGAGCTACATGTACACAAATTGCTTCCACGATATATCCATTCAAATGTAACACACCTCAACCAGCTGGATAATGAAATGGGTATTCACTATATTTCACATGAATACATACTGATTAAGTTGTCAGATTCAGTGCATACAGATTTCTATGTGAACTTACTGGGCATTGGGAACTGCTGTCCTTGTACATTAGATGGATTATGGAAAACAAGCAGGAAGTAGTGGTGTGCCTTGGACAAGACAGCTTTGCAACAGAGCTTTTTGTAATAAAAAATACACTGCAGGAATACTGTCAAGATACATAGTCATCAGACAGAATATGACTGAGTATAGTGACATGAACTGTAATGAAGTAGTGAGGCTATAAAATTGTTTTCATACAAGATACTCAACCTCTTTATATTGAACTTCAGCATGTTGCAGGGAATCGTTTCATATATATTTAAAGGTGTAATATAGTTTTTATATTAAAGGATAAACAAAAGATTAAGACAGATAAATTGAACATAACATTATTAATGTAAAAAAACTTAGGCACTTACTGAGGAAGAAGGGTTTGTTGGAGAGATGATACCAACAGTTGATGCAGCATTTTCAGATGCAGGAGAGACTGCAGTTGCCATTACAAAAAATAATTCTTCACTTTCCAAAAACACATATCAGGCATTAATTAACCTGGAATTCACAAAGTAATCTCACACAGGAATAGAATAAGATTATTTCTCTTAAATTCTAAATTGCTATAAATATATCCCAATATCACTTTCACCAACAAATCTAATATGATGACATATCTATTTATTTACATTATAAAAAAAAAATCAATATCATTTTCAAGAATGAAAACAATTAACCATTACTTTCAATACAATACAAACCTTTCGACATCAATTTCACTTTTTATGAACATTTTCTCAATATTGCAATATATAATTTTCACTATCATTAAATTAGTACAAGGCTTCTTGGATTTTCAAACCACAAGATAATTTTTAAAAAAATCTGCAAAATACATTTTGCCACAGATTACATGTGAAAGAAGAAACACTCTCTCGGCCAAGGTTGCTGTTATGTAAGTCACCAACGTCACTGGCTAAAGGATAAGAAATTTAATCATTAGGTGTAACTTTAGTAAGGACATTATACTTAGTTTCCTGATGTTTCCTTAAATGTAATAATAGTATATATATTTTTATAAGAAACAACAGATGGCTTCTGCTTCCCATCTACCTAATTAAAAATTCTGAAACATTTTAATGCATGATATACATACACAACTAACATGAAAAACAGAACTCTATATTCAAAGTAAAACATTCCACAACTCTAGTAAAAGAAAACAAACCATAATCTATTTAATAAGAGGCAAATGACAAAATTTCTCAACTTTACTTTTAAAACTTAAAAAGTTTGTAATGCGAGATTGATTATATTTTATCAATTCCTTATAAAAAAAATTACATACAAATTTATTTTGTAAAAATTATAATTTTTTTTTTAATGTAAATGTTGACACTTAATATAGTGAAGACCTCCTATTTTTGATAGAAGAAACACTTTGTTATTGCTATTTGTCCAATATTACAATTAGGTTAACTACACCATGTGTCATGCAGTTGATTTACACAAAGTATATGATAATATGTTTGATATTTCATAAAAGTTATAATTTTCTTAAATGAAAATGTATTTCCGATAGGTACTTCCCTCTGCTCCAAAGAATAGCATTTCTTGAGGGAAGTCCATCACATGCACTCAACCCCCTTGTCCATGAAACCAGCCCGAAACAACCCCAGGTCAGTAACAACCTTGTCACCCAAAGAGGGAAACCCAGGACAGAAGCGGAAACAGCCCACGTAAACCTTCTGAGACCCACAATACAGAAGACAAGACCCGAAACCTGCATGAAGACTTATGTGACTGGTTCAATCGAACTCCAAACCTCACTCGCTGGGTACCGACATCCATTGAGAGTAGGAGGAGGACACCCAGCAGAACACCACCACCCTACTCTGAATTGAATGGTTATAGCCATCTTTGTGGAACCCATACTCCATGGTCAACCACCCCAGCAGCTTGTAAGTGGTAAGAACTTCTGTTCTCCAGTGGAAAAAAGGAGGAAAAAGTGCATTGAAGAGACCAGAGGGACTGCAACACTCGAGACAGTGCAATGGGTGATCACAAAACCTTATTTTTTAAAAGCAGACCACACCAATTTATTCAATCTAGGCATGGTAAGGATGGGCAGCAATCCCATTCTGCTTTACCCATGCCATCCATGGGTGGTACAATCAGGGACGGGCATATTATGATGCAATTATCACAAGGAATTTACATTAGTGATCTTGTGAAACACACCACCTCAAGGGTGAGCATACACAACCATGGAAAATGTACAAGAATAAGCATGGCTTACTGTGCAGATTTTATAGCAAGATATCTGCGAATGGTTATAGCTATCTAAATGGAACCCATTCCAAGTGCAGACAGAATACCTGGTCTGGCACCACTCGCCACAAAGCGGGATCCAAAGTGAAGCTGAACCAGAGGACCCTGAAAAAAAAGGTAGCATTAGTATGGACTTAACTCATGTCACAGCCTCGCCAAAGTCTGTAGAATAGCCACAGGCAGCAAGCAATACCCCAAGGAAGCAGAAACAGCATTGTGGTGTAGGTAGTGAAAGATTAACGTGTGTGGAGTCATCCACATGCCCAATTGTAGAATCTCCTCCAATGGCCGACTAAGATGAGAAGCAAGGGAGAAGGTAAGGTGACAGATTTGATGTGCGAAAACATGAAAGAGAACATGCAGGAAAGGAGACATGAAAGAATAGGCCAACCCAATTGGTCAGGATAACCGGGGAAAGATCACGGGAAGAGGAAGGTTGCCAAGACATAAAAAGGCTGGAACAAGGACCATGGAACGAAGCTATGCGAGCAATATAACAATGGAGGGCACAAACAGGACAGAGGAGTTTATCCAGATCAGGACGATGGTAGAGATGAGATATAGAGAATAGGCAGATAGGGAAAAAGGAAGACTGACCTTGTGAGCCGCAGAGTTCTTAGGAAGGAAAGCACGATCCAGATAAAGTATAAGGTAGGAGGAGTGGTACAAGGTCCTGGCAAAGTCAAGGGCAAAAATATCTGACCTATGATGCCAGCAGGCCAGGAATAGGAGGAAATATGCCTTCAAAGAAAGGTGAAACAGGGAACACATAGACAGAGGTTCGAAAGGAGGTAAAGTGAGGGCACAAAGGACCATGTTAATGTCCCAGTCTGAGATCAACGGATGCCTCTGTGGCCAACAGAGCTGGAAAGAACGGATCAACATGGAAAGGACAGGAGAAGCAAAGACCCTGCAAAAATGGGAAAAGGTATGTGATAAAGTTGCCTGAGACCCTGAAATTGAGGAGACCGAAGAACCCCTCTCAAAGAGCCATGTGCAAAATCCGGAGTTACAGGCAACCATTGGGTGAGAAGCCCAGAAACCCCCTAGTCAATGCCCAGGAATGATAAACGCTCCACTTGCATTGATAGACGGCCAAAGAAGAAGGGTGAATGGAGAGGGCTAAATGTGAAGCTACTCTACGAGAGAAAAAGAAACTCCTTACCAAGGAATTGACAAAAGCAAGACATAAAGACGGAGGACAGACGGTCCGGGATGAAGCACCAGTGACTGGGGTTGATGAAGCAGGTCGGGATGGAAGGGGAGGGAGCAACTGAGAAAACCAAAGTTGAGCACGTCAGTAAAGAGCAATCAGAAGGACTGTGCACAGAGTGATATGGATGAGGGAGACCACCTGATGAAGTAAACGGATGGGAGGGTAAACATAAAGAAGGCATCGAGAGCCAAGGCTCGAGGATGGGGAATCGGGGGACCAAAACCAAGGTAATTTGTGATTGAGGACAGGGGCAAAGGCATCAATATGGGCCTTACCCAGATGCAGATAAACCTACCAAAAAACAGTAGGATGCAGGGACCACTCTGTGGGATAAACGTGACCCAGTCGGAAAAGAACATGTCAATGACAATGGATATGACAAATAAAATGTAGTTGGAATACTATTATTATACATTCTTCTAATTCTTGATAATTCCTAAGAGATTAGATAAAGAATGTAATGTTAAAAAATGAAACTGGCTTAATACTAACATTTTATGACAAGTATAATCACACTTTCCAGGCTTTAAAAATACTGACCCTTTAAGATAATCTCCAATAACAAAGGATCCAATTTGATTGAACTTCATTAATAACAACTTTTTCATTTTCCATAACCAGCCACTCTTTAACCCATTAGACGTTCCTGAACCCTTATCAATGTGATTTATTTAGTTTATTATCTTCTTTGTGGCACCTTATCAAAAGAGTGAAAACTAACCCACTGACTGCTGATTCACTATATAGTGTACAGTCTGCTTCTGGTAGATGAATGCCAGTGTGCCTTATACTGTGTATAGCTTGCAAAAATTTCACAGTCAATGGGTTAAGTACACAAAGTCCACACCCCTTTCCAGCAAATGGATAACAGGCAATATACTCAAAACAGTCTAATAAATTAGTGAATCTACAAAAGCTCTTTTTTTATGATGCAAAGCTTCTTCTATCAGACTCTTTAATTCTTCCTACTACAGAACTAAATCTAACTGGCCTATAATTTCCAGAGCAAACTTTATTATCCCCTTTAAAAACAGAAATAACATTTGCAATTCTCCAGTCCTCAGGTACCTACCCACTGTCTTATGACTTATCAAGGATGAAAGAAAGAGAGAATGCACATATGTTATCTCTGACCTGCTCTAAAAACCTAGGTAAAAACATTGTCTTGCCATGCCTATTTATTTTCAATCTTTCATTCTTGTTACTTAAAATCCAAGAATTTATCTATATGTTAATTGCAATACTTTCCATAGAATGCTCAAGGTCAAGAATACTGCTAAAATCCTCTCTTACAAAAATTTAACAGTTTCAGCCATCTGGTAGTTTTCAACAAAAACCATGCCATCTACATTTTTTAAGAACTGAAAAATTTGAAAAGTACTACACTTATTTTATGTCATACATATTTGATCTGTTTTTATACACATACTTTTCTTTAAATATAAAAAATATGCTTGTTTTGCCACCTATAAGCAATTATTCAAACTTTTTTTATTAAGTGCTATTATCAACATACCATGGTCACAATAACCTTCATTCCATCTGTAATGAAGTTAACCGACTAATGCAAGTTCAGATTCCCCCCTTTTTTTTTCTTGTACATAAAATTAATATTTTGATATAATTTTGTATCTACAACTTTTGTCTTTTTCTGTCAAGTATTTTTATAACTTTGATTTCAGAAAATGTTTATAAAATGATCCATATATTAAACAATTCTAAAAACTTCAATAAAAGTAGCCATGTCTGGGGCCTATACATAAACGAAAAGAAAGATTGGGTGCTTTTTACAAACTAAGAAGGTACAAGTACAATATATATCTTGCTTTCTCATTCATGTGATAATACAAGTTTTTTACATGGTTTGAATGATGGTAAATATAACAATAATTTCAGCTTGTTAGAATACAACATTGATTTATTCAACTTGAGTAATCCCAAAATATTACTTAATTCAAATAAATGAATAGTATCAGTAAATACTGATTAAACCATAGCTTTTATGAATTTAAAACAAGGTACAACCAAATTTGAGTTATGTTACAATGTGTATACTACACAACCTTGCTTTACAAGTTTCTTGGCATATGTTTTTAAAATTAATGCCAAAAATATTGCTAATATTAATAACAAGTATTCCTAACTGGTGGAACACATTCTCTAATCTTTATAATTATAAGTAAAAATGTAAGCAATATATATTTATTCTTAACTATAGTGCTATATTCATTACTGCAAAAAATACTGACTTTGGTCTTAAGTATGTAGTTTTCTTTGTTCAGAAGTTAATCTTAAAATTTAAAATTGTATTTTCTTTTCAAATTTAAAAGACTTTTGACAGTTTCGTGTATTTTGGAAACACCTTACTAATAATACTTTATACTGAAACTAGTGAAAGTATCGGTACTTTTATCATACATGATACAATAATTAGACTTGATAATAATACTTACCATTAGTACGAGTAATACTACTTACTAGTATCAAACTAGGCTGTACTGTACTGTAGTACATACAATCTAGCTTCTAGTTCTAAGACTAAGCGTCAACATATAACAAAACTTATAAGTTACTGGTGTAAGGCTGAATTAAGATTCTGATCAGCATTCACAGAAATTCAAAATCATGAAAATGTTAACTTAATAAGTTAATAATCATATATACTATTACTATATAATAATATACATTACATAATCTTCGCATGCACTTCTACCGTTCTAAGTTCTATTGCGTCATTTCAACAACGAACAATTCTTTCCATCTTATTTATGTCACCCACCTTATCGCTTCCGAAGGTTATATTACTTATATTTTTATAACAGTTAATACGGATGATGAGGACTTCTACCCAAGTTTACACTTCAATATCTTACTAAATATTTCAAGTACTAGAAGGTTCACAATCTTATTTTTAAAAAACTCTTGTGCGCATGCGCGGAACTAATATTATTGAGACCTAAAGAACACCTAGTAAATTAAATGATTCTCTAATTCAGACTTTTAGCTATTATTTTTAGATATTTTAAGTTAAAAATAAGTAGTTTAACATTCAACTTAGATAATTTCTAAGATTTTAATTTCAAACCTTTTCTAAATTTCAAAATTTATTTTTCTTCATGGGTTTCATAGTGTTACAATTAGTTCAGTTAAAATTAAAAGCTAACTTACCCAACAAAGCATGTTAATCACTTGAACGTTTATAATAATATACATATTGGTAATTGTTGCAATTATTTTTTGTAAGTTTTGCTTGGAAAACCTTTTCTATGCAACGGAAATGATATATTTAATAAAAAGAAACAGCCAGTATTCGGTGAAAATTCTTTATTTTCAGTTTCTCTTATGGCTTTACAAAAAAGTAAACACATCACTGAATACAAGCCTAATTTTAACAGAACAAACAGCTGATGTAATTAAAAATAATAATAATTGGTTATTGTGCATCGTGTAACATTAAACATTTACATATTTCTGATGTGTGTGTGTGTGTGTAGCATATTCAGATGAAATTGAATTACCTTTACAGCTATATCAGATGGGTTTGTTAGATAACAGGAGATTCACTCAAAATACATATTACTAACGGAGTAGATGTAAAATATCGTAACAAGAATGGACACATAGTAAAATATAGAATATACGAACAATCTTTATTATACATGAAACGCCAATACTGTGTGTACATTTGCATTCTACTTAGGTCGGACTTTCACTTCCGCTGGATAACTAGACTAACTACTGACAACCAAGTTCTTATAGACCGACTTCAATTATTTTCGAGACCAGATTACCAAATCCAAGGTACTTTGCTTTCAAAGAGATCTCATATTTACAAAGCGTGATATGCGTAACACTTGATTGGTCATTCATGATTGTCATATTACACTTAGATGTGGCCATAGCCTCTTGATATCACCTGTACAACAACCGAAAAATACTGCTGTCGATGTTCTTTCACAAGGTCGCATTAAGTAACGTTCTTCACAGGCAGTAACAGATATTACCAACTTTAAGAATAACGAGGGAACAAAGGTAACTTTAAACAAGATCAACTTTACGGTTTTCTTGACCACCTGTTAGGCGAAATCTGCATTTATTCAGAACAAAGAATTAATTCTCAATAACTATGATAATACTATAAGAAGATAGAAATATATGGTTTATTGAAATTCAATGACGAGAAACCCACTTTGAGACTAATAATGGTTGGAGACGGCTTGAATGAAGAAAAACTTATATTAAAGTTTTTCTTCATTACCCATTCAAGCCGTCTCCAACCATTATATGGTTTATTGATATGTCACGTTTTACCGTCTTCCATGCCTCATGTTTTTCTTAAGCTGACACTTAACTTCACTTTTTTTTTTTTACCAATAAACTTTAAATTCACATTGATCAAGAATTGCATAATCCCTTTCTGGCTTCCAAAAAAAAACAAAAAAAAACACTTAATATACCAACAAACAAAGAAAAATACAAAATGAAATATCCTCTAATGAAGATGCAAGCACACACTACCAAACACTTTTAGAAATATATCTCATTTTAATCCTTCAACTTAAAAACATGGCAAAAAATATAAAACAAAAAGGTTTTTAACATTTAAATCATATCACAATACCCTTCAAAGAGTAAAATCTATAAAATCACACAATATATTTTAATAAAACTAAAGAGAGGAATCAAGCATACTATACAAGATTGAAAGCTTTTTGCATTGAAACCATACTACATAATAAAAAAGAAACCCTCTAACATTTTAAACAGGCTACGTAAGCTAAAAAACCCTTCAACACATGTTAACCTGAAATAATACAAAATCAATGTAGACAACAAACCCTATACACAAAGAATAGGCATTGCATAGTAAAAATCAGCTGTTTATTGCATCTGTAAGCAAGATAAAACTTTTTAAAATTCAAAGTAAAATTTTTTTAAAACATATCAAAGTAACTCTAAAAAAATAACAATATATATATATATATATATATATGAAAATAAAGTTGAGCCAATATCAAGGATACAGCAAAAATAAACACATATATACACAGAAGTCACATTTAAATTAATAATATATGAAATGTACATAAATTCTAAAAAACATTACATCATAAAATTGATATAGATGTCTTCTTTCCTTCCACCATTTTAGTACAAAAATCACTTACAATGATTCAGTCATCTCAAAATCTGCAGCTCTCTGTTTTTAAATCTCTTGTTTTGTAAAACGTTCTTGACTATTACCAACTCCCTGGTATATACAAGTTGGGTATGATAAATATTACCAAAAAAGCTTCTTTTAATTCGTATCAGTGCAAGATTCTCGTGGCTTGTTAGTTTACTATCTAACCTAGAGTTTTCAAAACTAGAGTCAATTTTCTCTGCTTCTTTATCTTCCATTACTAATGGCAGCTTCAGATGAAATTTGCATATTAGAGTATCCTCTTCAACAGGTTGAAAGTCAGATGCAACCAGGCCAAAGTATTCTTAAAATTTCCATAGGTACTTCAGATTACTCCTCTATGTTATCGACGATACATATACTTCCATGACAGCATAATGAAGACTTTGACACTAAAGAATGGCAAAATCACTGTCTAGTTGAAGAATAAGGTCCAAAGTATTACAGAATTATACCTCTCAAAGCAAAAGTCTGGATCAGAAATGCAAGGTTGGTGAAATATTATTTGTCAAAAGGTCAGCCAGATATATAGGTCGAAAAAGGGGTTCATAACCAACTGATTGTAATAATCATTCTCCCATAAAACTTCTTTTAGAGGTTGATAAAACACTGAAATACTGTGGTCAAGCAAAACTTCCATGGGGTCCACATGTGCTCATGTGAAAATCACCCAAAGAATATGTATCCCCCTGTACCCATGACTGGCTCAATCCTCAGATTACACACTTTGATAGTATCTTAGACCTGATATAAAATTTACGCCTTTCATTGTGTCTGATGATAATTGAAGAAAATATTGCATCACAGGGCTCGAAGTTCTGATCGGCATAAACTTTTTGTTTTCAATGTGAAGTTTAAGGCTTAATTATATACACAGGAACATAGGTAAAAAAAGAGTAGGATTAGATTTGGAAAAGTAAAATTTTAAAGAAACAAAAATTGTGCCAAAACCTTGGCCAATAGGAGGTATGTGGGGCCCTGTTGGATATACCAAGTTTATATTTGTTATGATATTTAAGCTACTAATGAAGATCAAGACGGTTGACAAAACACAAAACATTTTTCTTACAATGTTTAAATGTTTCGGAGTACACTTATTCCATCTTCAGCAAATTCTGAAAATAGTGTTACAAAGATATTTGAATAACGAAAACAACAGTAACATTAATCACTAGTTAATTTAGTTATTAAATGGTAAATGGAAAAATAAAACAAACAAAATGAAATATTATAGATACATTAGGGACAGCTCAGTTTTAATGTGTGTAAATTTAGAATAATTTTAGATCTAAAGAGGTTTGTAAGTCGTTAAGAGTAGGACGATCTTTAGCTATGAGTAAACTTTCTTTAATGTAGAGTTCAAGGTCTGAAGACCCTATATTAATGATAAATAAATCGTTAAATGAAATATTTTGACCCATATTTCATAATGTGAGTGAATGGATGAGTGGCTGGGTTTAAGTAGTGGACAATCAGTTCTGTTAGATACTCCTAAATGTTCACGGACTCTAGTTTTAAATAACATTTTGTCTTGCCAATGTATGTCGTCTTACTGTAACTACACCTATACTTATACACAAACCATGAATGTAGAAATTTAGGTCGTTGATCTTTATATTGAAATAAATGTCTAATACAAAGGCCAGGTCTGTATATTAGTCTTAGGCGAATTTGAGGGTAAATGTTTTTTATTAAAGAGGAGAAATGTGTTTTAATTTCTAAGGATTGCGAATCCATAAAAAGAAGGGAGATAATGAGGGAAATTTTTGGATGGTGTGCACATTAGCTGGTGGTCGGAATTTGTTGTTTAGGAAATTGCATGTAATCTTCATTAGAAAATCAAGTGGATATCCATTATTTAACATGTGTTTGTGTAGAAGGGTAATTTGTTCATGCAAAACAATTCGGGCAAAGATTAAAAATATAAGCTACTGTTTAGAAAGTTCATGTAATTACAATACATTCACCTACTCAATCATTTCAATTTAATCCACTTAAAATATCTCACACCAGTCTTATTAGAAAACCACTTATGGAATTGTGTTTTCTCTCAGACATAGTATTACACTACTTGGAAAATTACGGGTAAAATAGTTTTTCTTTCGAATGTAGTGTGAGTCACACCATTACTCTTATATTTCCATGAACGTTTACTTTCTGCCAAACACTTCAATGTTAAAACTGAAACATTCTCTCACGACTATTAAATTTTCAATACCTCACAGTTTTCCTCAGAGAAATTCTCTTGGTAGCTCAGAAATATAGCTTCAGATGATCAAGTGGTAATCATACAATGTATTTCATACACTGTATTCATTAGATGACCCATCATTTCGGAAAGCAAGGGCCATAACATCCTTTCAGATGTGTCTTTGAACTCATAGCTATTACCTCCAGTTGTACAAATTATTCATATACTGGGCTTAACATTTACTGACACCAGCAGTCTTAGATTAACGATAATGGAAATCACACAATATAATATATACAGTGTATAGTGAACATGACTTGATAGCCAGGAAAGCAAGGATTGCCACGTCCTTTCAATTATTGGGTACTCGATGTAATGATCATCCTAGTTGCTACACAGTTGACGACTGCACAGTGTATCACATACAGAGTGCTTAATGTCACCACTAGGGATCTTGGAAAACACGGGTCACAACACCCCTTCAATCTTTCAACTATCTGTCTGTTCTAATTGTTTATGCAGGCCCAATCCCAGCTATACCAATTAAAA